GGGCCTTATCCTCTAGATTACACGAGGAAAATGCAAGCATCTCTATTCTGAGGAAATAAATTCTCAAGTAAAAGATATTTAAGAAACACATGAAATTTAAAGAATATCTACATTCTGTAACTTATGCTGCGTATAGACATAAGTTAAGTTGACTAATGTAACAAACTAGCTGCATCTGTAATTGTATGACCAATAGTTATCCAGAAAATATATATGTGAACTCCACAATCAGACAACTAACCAAGAGGATGGCACCAGTCTTAAAAGAACCAAGGGAAAGCATTTCAATCCCCTGCAAAAGAAGCATCACAAAATCAAATCGCTTAAAAGCAGTCCATATTTAATAACTATATCAATCACAAGTACTTTTGCTGAAAAATATCTCACAGATCATAATTAAACACACAATAATCTCAATAAAATCCTATATCCATGAAACATTGGAATTTTGTGATGCACATACATAAGCCCTTAGCAAGTGTTAGTGTGTACAAGCATGGATGTGACTGCTATTAAAAGCTTCACCCACTATTATGACAATTCTGCTAGCATGACGGCCTTTGGAGAAATGCCTTAATAGATATTTATTAGATTATATCAAGTATTCAGGGGAAAAGGTTGAAATTTATGAAACAAGCATACCCAAAGATCTAAGCAATTTCAAGATGGTGACCAGAAGATATATAATTGGAAAGTTGAAACCTTCAATAGCAAATAAGGCACACTATAAATAATTTTATTCAGTATCCATTTCGATATGAAGCAAAAGAAAGAAATTGCCAAGAGGATATTCTACAAAACATAAAAAACTTCCAAAGCAATTGGAGATTAAAAAAAAGGATAGGAAGACAATTTTTTTCAAAAAGAGACATTAGCAACAATGAGAAATCTACTGACTGAATGATGCCAGACCTGAATGCAGAAAGCCAAGCCCAGAATATTGTTAGCAAGCCAATGCTTCTGGGAAGCATACCAAGCACAAAAGAATGTTCCAGGAATTGCCGCAACAATTTGAGATCTTGTGAACTCAATCTCCAAAGCTGGGGAAGAAAGGTACAAGGAAAAACATCATTTTGCATGATAAAATGAAGACATCCTATGAATCAAAAGAAAAATCAAGGGAGCAGAAGACCAGAAATGCTTTATCATGCAGATAATCAAGCATGTACAACTTGCAAAGCACCCATGTAAAAACTGGTCAAGAATATCCCAAAACAACTCGTCATCAATATACCTAAAGTACAGGTAGCAATTACAGCTCCAGGACACTAAGAACCATGTTACTTTAATGGCCAGATAATCATGCATGTACAAGCAACTAACTTGTTAAAATCCATTTTTTAAGACTCGGGGATTGGGATCCAAAACAATGCCACTCACTATGAGCAGAAAGGATGTTTTCTCCTCATCCTTTTCTTCCACATGTACAGAAATAAAAAGATGGCCATTAAACTGTGATTTTACTTGTAAAAAAAGATAACAAGAACATTCCCTTCCCTGCAAGCTAAAAACCAGTAAATAAGCATAAAATAAAGCAGCATGTTCTGAAAAATGAATAAAGCAGCATGCAAGGACAATTAGCTGGAATTCAGTATTGAGTCAGGAAGCATGTATTTGCAGTTGAAATTCCAAGCTGCCACAAATAAGCAAACCAGCAGTATAGTATTTGATACCGTGGTTATAAAATAATGATGGAAACTATTTGAATTTTCAGAATCATTTAAGTGGACTTGAAATGTCTAGAGGATTCACAAGAACATCACATACAGCGGAAATAAGGAAAATGCCAGGAAATGACATCATCATTCCAATGCTTAGGCAAATAACGTTTTATAGCTGGTAATAGTGTTGCCCTGAAAAAAAATGAAAATGAAAACAAGAAAACATGAGAATGATATAAACACTAGAAGGAAAATAATACTTCAGATATTTTGAACATATAAATTAGTAAAGATCAGGTGGAAAGAACATACGAAAGCGCGACAATTCCAAGCACAAAAAAGTAACAGGTCAGTACAGCATTAACCAGATCTTTTGAAAGAAATTTGAAGAGTAAGAATAATGATAGCAGCATAGCACTCCCGACAAAGGGAAAGCGCATTGCATGCTCATTAGACATGGTTTCCTGCAAGATTAAACACGATGAATTTCAGTCAAACACAATCTGGATCAGCTGAACAGGAAATACAGAGGAGAAAGGTATAAATGATAATGTTTGTTATACTTACTGAAGGTGGCGTAGGCTTGACAGATCGATAGCAGCCGACATAAACTGTCAGGCATGCAGTCAAGATCACATTTAAGTTGGGATCTACTTTCACAAAAAGTGGTGCCAATGTTAAACCTGCATTGAAGATCAGACACATGGGACCAACATCGAGTAAAATTTCCAAAACATAACAAACAAAAGGTGCTACCACATGCATCAGATTCTTGAAACAAAGAGCTATCATGTTCAGAAACCCCTTCTCTTTTTCTTAGGCCAATGCTTCAGAAAAAGTAGCCCACCTATTCTTTATACACATCAGAGTCAACCCTGCATTTCCCACCATACTACAAGTATTTCTGACATCCAAACTCAAAAGTTACGAAGAGTCCCCGGGAAAATAAGATAAGCACACGTTTAATATGAAAGATGGGAATTGACTAAGGAAGGCAATCTACAATGAGCAACACATTACTGTCAAGTCTGTCAGAGTAAGAAAAAAGCCAATACCTGCTAAAGCCAAATTTGCAACTCGTTCACAGTTCTTCATGTTCGTATTCTAACCAAGCACTTTGGAGATAGATTATTAAGCTAATCTACTACACTTCAACGATCAATTGCGAACCTATTGCCTCTTTACCATAAAAAAACCCTGCAATTTAAGTAAAGAAAAATAAAAATCAGAAAACAACCATTTAATAGGCTGATAAAATTTAAACAAAAGTCGACAGAGAGACCAATTTTTTTCAAAATGGGATCAACAATTATACTCCATTTCAGTTACTAAATTTACAAAGATAGAAAATGCTATACTGATCCCGGTTCAAATGTCATGTTAAACTGTCACTGTAAGCAGAAAAAGAATAACTGATGTAAATCCCAAGATTTATAGCTTCAATTCCATTTTCTCCGTAAAAAATCAAAACGTTCTTTCTGTTCCTCGATTTTCTCAGCAGCCAAAAAGGAATCAATAATCATAAGCATAAATTTAAAGACAAAAACACGTATAGTTTGACAGAAAGAGATGTACCTGAAGAGGCTCTCTCTCTAACGGTTACTAGAGATACAGATCGGAGGGGCATAGAGAGGGAGAGGGATGGAAATGAGATTTTATTTAATATTTGCAGAAAGAAATAGAGAGAGAGAGAGATAGGGTTTTACCAAAAGAGGCAGGTCAACGTGGAGTCAAACGAGATAGGGGTGAAAAATGCTTGGTAAACAATTACGGCCATCAATCATCCTACATGCCTGTCAGGTAAACTTTTATTGGCAGCCAATGAAATTAGGAGTTTAAGTGGAAGCTTTCTGGATACGTGGCTTGTTATTATTTGATTGTTGTGATGCAATAAGTGACGGGCCATTATGGATACGCTCGAAGTAATTAATTTGATACTTCAGAAATAAAAAGCAACGCCACCAGGCATGAAGTTGTTTACGTATTTCCTTTAGAGGGCCACGTATGGTGAGGTTTGTTATCCAATAAGATTTTCCCATGTCAGCAACAAAAAATAATTGTCTTGCTTTCATTCTTGTTTCGAGATATACAGTATTAATGGGTGTTTCCATTTTAAAAGTATATATTTTTTAGAATTATATTAAAATAATATTTTTAAAATTTTATTTTTAATAGCAGTATATAAAAATAATCTAAAAATAAAAAAATAAATTTTAAAAAATAAAAATTATTATTATTTTAATACATTTATAAATAGAAAATATTTTGATTAAAGACCATTACCTGTTCTATAATCTAAAACTCTTGATGTCTTTGTTATTTCTAGTATTATTTTAGATTCTTTTGAGTTAGATGATCATGTAAATAGAAAACAAATTGTATAAAATATCTCAAATTTATGTTCAATGTCTCATTTAGGTTATTTTTTAAGTTGATTTCTAGAAAAAAAAATTATTATTCAATATAAGAATTTATTGGAAGTTATCTTTCTTAGTTTATTTTTATTTGTATAATATGAGATTATTATAGTCTCATAAATTAAGACATAGACTTGATATATTAACCTAAATTAAATTAAATCAATTTAATATATTGTTGTTACAGTATTTTTTTTTTTAAATATTATTTTAAATTTTTTTAGTCAAATTAATTTTTTTTTTTACTATTCAATTTATCTTTAAACTTCAATTTATCTTTAAACTCAATAAGTTGCTTGATCACATTGAAATTAACCCCGCAAAATTTAAATTTTTTTATCTAATAACAAATAAATAAACACGCTGGATGTTTTTTTAATATTTTAAAAATTATTTCTTAGAAAAATAGCATCGTGAAGGACAATAATATAATCCAAATTAATCTTATCTTTTGTTGAAATGAGACGATGCAACACGTTATAGGCACCAAATCTTACAAGATTAGTTTTTTGAAATCAGACCCACAGCGTAGAACACTTGGATTTTAGAGTGCTGGTATAATTCGCTTTCATAGGTAAATAATATATTTCTTTCTTTGAAAAAAAGAAAAAACATAAGATGATGTTTATGCTCTTAAGGGAAAAAATCAAAACAACATTTCATTTATTAAAATAAAAAAAAGGCAAAAGGCTTTTTTTTCCCCTTCAATGACGTCGCTTGCACAAGAAAATATTGATGTTTTACCAAAAATTAATTGACTTGCTGCAAATTGCATCAGTTATGAAAGTATTAAGGGATTATTTAGGAATCTAATTGTAGTTATTTTTTAAAAAAATTATTTTTAAAGTTAACACATTAAAACATTTAGAATATATATATAAATTTTAAAATTTCGACAATCCACGTTCCCAATGGTCTCTAATTCCCATGGTCCCAAGCCACAACAAATACGATTTTACCTAAGAGATGAAACAGGAGGAATTAAGAAACTACCCATACTTTTGCTTAATCAGCCTGAGGAGCTCCCAACGGCAATCAAAATCAAAATGCTTCAGGTATGCAACAGGTACACATGGAAGCTAATTTCCTTAGTGTTTCATGGATCGATCTTACTGAATCTCTCAAGCAACATGTTTTGCCACATCCATGATATCATCTAGGCGTTGCAAAGTCTGAACTTGACCACATGATAAATGAGCCCTTGACTGTTACTTTTGATAATTGATACAGCTAAAGTCAACTCATTTCACTTAAAAGAGAGAGGAGAGACGGGCTTCAATTGAAAGTTAATTTACCCTTCATAAAAAGAAAAGAAAACAAGAACCATCATGGTCCTTCTGTGCTTCCAAGTTCTCACAATCTGAAAAGATGACACAGAAGACACATCTAGTGAAAATAACCAAGAACCTGACCTCCCACATTCCGACTGATAGCCTCTTCATGGTCCAATATACCATCCGGAGTTGTGATCACAACATAACCCCACTGGCGTGTAGGAAGGTTCCGCAACCTGTAAGCTTCTATATCCTTTGCCTTAATGTCTTGCCTGTAAGTGAGAGCTCGACAATCAGTAACCCTGCCTTGTAATTCAACAGTTATCCTTCCCACTCTGTGTGGATCGTAAACATGAAAGTTTTTTATATATCCCCTGTCTTTCATGATCTTAAGAAAAGAAGACATGACAGTAGAAATGGGCTGTAACTCCACGGTAGATTTACTTCTCCTCTCTGCGTTCACTATTGCCCTCAAGGCATCGTTCAATATCCTCCTCCCCATCTTACTCTCTCTTCACAGCAAGCTGGACAAATTAAATGCAAAGGAACTGTAATCCATCACACCATCAACATCAAATGTTGAAGTACAACATCATCAACCACGCATTTCAATCAACACCACACAAATGATGTTAATTGGATGTACAAAATCATTAAGCCTGACTCCATCCTGACCCAAATCTGAACCCGAAAACTATAATTTCACCACTTACTATCACAGAATTAAGCAAATTATGAAATTTACCTACTAGTTTGTTTTTAACAATAATCCTATAGATATCAAGAAAGCATACAGGTGGATATAGTGCAGAGAAAAGGAGAACAGTGGACAAAAGTGTGAGTAACCAATTTTTGACAAAAGTCAATACATTTGCAACTGAGAAACTCATACAAAACCAGAACCTTTGTGCAACTTTTTTTTTTGAATAAATTAAGGTGACATTAAATAAAACCAGTAATCTTTGACTGGACCATTGTCTTTCTTTTCTATTTCTCTTGCCATCCATTCAAAGAGGATATATTGACACCACTAGTTCCCAAACAAGGAAACGAGTCAGATTAAATTTCATTTCAATAAATTTATTCCAGGTCATCAGCCACACTGATGCCGCTAGTTTCCAAGCCGGGAAACTAGTCAAATTAAATTGCATTTCAATAATTTTATTCCTGGTCACCAGTCACACTAACACCACTAATTTCCAAACCAGAAAACTAGTCAATTAAATATTATTCAGTATTCATATTCTTGTTATTATGGACACCTACTGTAATCAAAGCAATGATAATTAGTATCAAGGATTTAGGTAAAATTAATTGGCAGAGGTGCAATGCACCTACCTCCTTCTCTGACTAACCGGTTTCCTCCTATTGCAGATGATCCTGCTCCAAGCACCTCTCATGCTTTGAATCAAGAGGTCTTATTAGTATCATTTCATAGCTTCACTATAATGTGAGCTCTCATATCATTGCGAATTCCATTCACATAAGTTTATTTCCACAAATTAATTGAGGTTTCCTTTTAGTTTCCTTCATCTAATTTTCTCATTACAGTTTCTACACCAGTTATCACTCATAATCAATAACCAATGTTCAATATTTTATTAATAACTAACATTATAGACCTCGGGTTTGGGTGTGGCTTGACTTTTTTAAAAGCTAAGATATGAAACTACAATTTTACTGAAGGGACGAAAACCCAGCTCCGCCATTAACATACTCAAAATTACCCATTGTCGCACTTTATACAAATCTGTCCAGCAAGATTCGGTTAGACTTTTCTTCACTTTTTAATCCATTTCTGTAGTATTATAACTCCAAATTAAGTAAGGTCAGAATTGTTTGAAAACTAACATCCCTAGCTACAACTTCCAAGAAACTTATTTCTGATTCTATCATTTTCAATTTCTAATCTCATTGGGAAGTCAGGTGACTAAACTGTCCAGCTTCTCAATCTATGGATTTGAAAATCAACCAAGTATTTTCATTCCATATTCCCTATAGAACCTTTAAGCACAATCCTCCTATTAACCAAATCTGTCCATCCCTAATGTTAAGTGTTTTCTCTTGGTTTTTTCAATGTTTAACATAATTTCTTCTAGTTCATCCCCTTCTCATGCTAACTTTACCCATTTACTTCAAAATCCTCATTTTCCAAAACTTATCTTTTCATCATTGTTAATTCCATTACAACATTTTTATATTCTTCTCTCCCCCCTAACCTCATGAACTTGACCGAATGGTCCCATTTGTTTTTCTTTGGATGTCCTCAATTTCACATGTACATGTACAAATTTCACACTAATTCCTCTAATTCATTAACACTTGTTCATACACTTAATCTCCATTCTACCATCCATTTTAGCAATGTATTGATGCTTCTAATTAAGGATCAATGGCAATAATTGTACTTACATCACTATACCACCATTCACCCACTTGTTAACACTTCACATTATAATTTTAACTAAATTTCCATCCCTCCTTTTTTATCCCAAATCTGGCCAACACCAATATGCCCACTCATCCAAGTTCTTTTATTCCAATTACTTCATCTTTTTACATCATTCCCATATTTTCACTCTAAATATTAGTTCTATGCTTTAAAGATGTGTTTACAACAAGTTCCTTACTAGTCTTGCGCCTGAACAACCTTTCATGTATACAATAACACACAATCCTTCCATTTATCCAAAGTTCCATTTTTAATCACAACTTATCCTAAACAAGGCTTGTTAAACATTTAGCATTTCCCCTTCCAAATCATATTTATCACTCCCTTTTTGGTTCAAGGCTGGCCGGTTCTTAGGTTAGGAATTTCTACTTGATTTCTTTCAATTTTCTTCTATAGTTTCTTTAGTTTTGTGTCCTTCCAATGTTCACTTAACATGTTTGTTTCATTACACCTCTATTTTCAACATGCATACAAACCCTAAGGTTATAACATTTGGGGTTTTTCATCATCTCCATCAAATGTTACCAATAACACAATTTAAACAATGAAAATCATCTTACCAAATGAATTTGAGCCTAAGTTGTGGCTTCCCTGACAACTTCTTCCTCTTCTTCTTCTCTTCTTCTAGCTCACTTGAATTTTTTTTCTTCCTTACCCTTCTCTATCCGTCCCTCTCTCTCTTTCTAAATGTTTTCTAGTGTAGCTTCCTTCCTCACAAATTTACAATCTCACAACCATTTTGTTTTGCAAGGACATGCAATGGATTTGGTGAAGAAGAACAAAGGGAGTGGGCTGTTCTGGCCGGCACCTCTTAGAGAAGAAATGAGTTGATTTTTGTCTTATTGTATTTATACCTCCCCTTTAATTACCCTAGGCCTTTCCAACATCTTCAGGCTAAATTCAGGAATCATTTTTATCATCCATAATACCTCTTTATTAAATCTTTCTTATCAAATCTTCACTATGTTTCCAATCATCTTATTTGATTTATCGGAACTTTACAATCATGTTCCACAATCATCGGTTACAGTATTTATAATGTACCGGGATTTCACACATGTATTGCTCAATTCTGGAATATAAAAGTTATCGAGCATTCCTTATTTCCCTATGATAGAGAAATCTCCAATTTAACAAAGCATCAAAAAGTTATCCACATTTCACAGTATTCATAAACCTAAAACTGTCGAAACTGATTTCTTTAGCAAAGCTTCTGGTTTCTAAAATGCGTACTCCAAAAATCACAAGGAAGCCATTCTGAACAAGGGAATCCCAACACTGCCATATCCTTGCCCACCCAGAAATAAAATCAGAAAATAATCATTTAACCGTCTGATAAAATTTACATAAAAATCGACAGAGAGACCTTTTTTTTTCCAAACTGGGATCAACAATTACACTCTATTTCAGTAACTAAATTTACAGATAAAGATAGAAAATGCTATACCGATACCGATTCAACAGCCATTCTAAACTGTCACGATGGTAAAAAAAGAACAACTGATGTAAGTCACAAGATTGATAGCTTCAATTCCACTTTCACCGTAAAAAAATCAAAACTTTCTTTCTGTTTCTCAGTTTTCTCAGCAACCAAAAAGGAATCAATAAGCATAAGCCTAAACTTAATGACAAAAATACGTAAAGTTTGACAGAAAGAGATGTACCTGAAGAGGCTCTCTCCCTAACGGTTACTGGTGATACAGATCGCAGGGGCGTAGAGAGAGGTAAAAATGAGATAAATGTTTATTGAGATAAAAATACTAAATATTTGCAGGATGGGTGATTATTGAGATAGGAAGGGAAACTAACTTTTTTTGAGAGAAAATCCGGAGATAAAAAAGACAATGGGGATTGGACTAAAACCCTTCTGTTTTCGTGTGTTGTCTGCTGGCAAGTGATCGAGGAGAAACCCTGGGGACGTAATTGATTTTTTTTTTAAAAAATATATCTACTTGGTATAAATGTGATTTTGTTAAACTTTAAGGTTATTATTGACTTTTGAGTAAGGTTATGGAAAAGATAATGGAGTATCCATATTCCATACCCAACTTCTTACCTTCAAATTTTAGGCTAAATTTGTTTATGCGCTGCGTGCATATCACTCTCTGACATATTTAAAAATATTTAATTAATTAATATATATTATGATTTTATATGAATCTGCTAAAAACTCTTTATTATATTTTTATTTAATAAAAAAAATATAACTTATAATTTTTAAAAATATTTTGCATGTTTGGCATTATGATCAAAACATTATTTGTTAAAAAATTAAATATTTTTGTTTAAAATTAATTTTTTAGTTTTTTTTATTGTTTTGATATGTTAATACATAAAAATAATACTTTTTACATTTCTGTAAAATCTTGATAAAAAAGTAAAAAATATTATTTTTATATATTTTTAAATAAAAAATACTTTAAAACACAATAGTTATCAAATTCTGAAATATTTAAACTATAATCATATAAAAAAATACTATAATACCAACTACACAATTAGCTGAACCATAAACGTGAAAAGACATCAGGTGAGAAAATCATTTGATAATTGATATTACTAATTAAAAAAGTATATTTGTTTTATTTTTATCAAGTTTTTTAATTATAATTATTGTCTGTGTTAAGAAAATTATGATTATTACATCAAGTTAATAAAAAAAATTAAAATAATATATCCATGTGTTTAATAAGAATTTATAATAATATTTAAAACCCGTGTTAAAATTAGAAAGTAAACGAAACTACCAATTTTATTTTTGAGTGCCATGAAACAAAAACCCTAAAAAAAACAAAGGGTAAAAAAAAGAAGGGACAAAGCCTAGCATCTTACCCAACTTTATTATTTTCTTTAAGGGAGTGAATAAAAAAAAATGACAATTCAGAAAATATTTGCATCCACCAGAGCTTGAGCCCGTGACCTTGCCAGCCACATGCGCGCAGACCAATTAAGTTACGGCCGGGAATTGTTATGGTAGAGGTTTTTTTTTTTTTTTTTTTGAAAAAAAAACAATATTAAGCTGCTTTCGTCCTGCTCAGCATGAAAAAAAAATCCAGTTATAGAATTTTAGAGTATAGATATAAAATTCAGTCCAGTTTAATAAGAACTCAAAACCTAGATTAGATTTTAAATGATAAAAACTCAAGGTTGTAATTAATGTAGTTAAATCTAAATGATTTATTGGGTTAATCTAAACCTAATTGACCTGATTTTATTAAAGTGAAACCTCATCTTTATTTTTTTTTAAATAAACCAAAAAAATATAAAAATAATTTGGGACTACTTATCTTCACATATTTTTCTTATAGCTTATATCCCAGTAAATGTTTTTAAATTTTTTATGTGAGACAACTATATTTATATGAGATATTTTTTAACTTTTTCACATGCAATGTTATTTAATTTTTTTTAGTAAGATAACACTATATATATATATATATATTCTATTTATGTAAGTTATTTTTTTATCAGATAACCATATTTATAACCTATATTTATATGGAATATTTTTTTTTACATGTAAGATAACTATATATAACTTATATCTATATATATATATTTTAATTTTTTATATAAAATATTAAAATTTAAAATATATTTTTTAATTATTGTTTTGAGTTAATTGAGATTGCTTTAAGTTAATAGAATTAATAACCATGCTTTTATAGTTGCTTTTCAGTATTCACACAGGTAAATGACATATTTCTTTCTTCGAAAAAAACAAAAAAAAAACATAAGATGATGTTAATGCTCTTAAAAGGAAAAAAAAAATCAAAACATTTCATTTGTTCAAAAAGAAAATAAAATAAAGCAAAGGGCCTTTTTTCCTTCAATGACGTCGTTTGTACAAGAAAATATTGATATTCTACCAAAAATTAATTTACTTACTGCAAAACGCATTAGTTATGAGAGTGCTCATTCCCATGGCCCCAAGCCACAACAAATAGGATTTTACCTGAGACCTGAAACAGGAGGAATTTAGCATTATCAGCGAGCCTGAACGGTATTCAGTTTGTTTTTTATAAAAAAAATAATTAAACTAATTTTTTTTTTAAAAAAATCAAAGTAAAACTTTCAAACTAATCGATTTTAATTTAAATTGTTTTTAAAAATAAAAATTATTTTAAATTAGTTTACCTCAATTTTTTTTATTTGACTTAATTTTTCAGATTTTATCTAGTTTTTTTTATTTGACTCGATTTTAATTTTTTTTTTTAGTTTCACTCAGTTTTAGCTTATTTTTTTTAATTTAAATTGATTTTTTAATTTTTATATTTAAATTTAGTTTAATTTTTTTGGTTTCAGGTTTATAAAATAAAATTAAACCAAACCAAAATAATAAATTTTTTTAAAATTTTAATCAATTTAATTAATTTTTTTTCTGAATTTTTTAGTTTAATTGATTTTTTAGTTTCTTTACTCACGCTTAACCTGAAAGGTTCCCAAGGCAATCAAAATCAAAATGCTTCAAGTATGCAACAGGTGCACATGGCAGCTAATTTCCTTCGTGTTTGATGGATCGATCTTACTGAACCTCTCAAGCAACATGTTTTGCCACATCCATGATATCATCCAGGCGTCGCAAAGTCTGAACTTGACGACATGATAAAGGAGCCATTGACTGTTACTTTTGATAATTGATATAGCCAAAGTTAACTCATTTCATTTAAAAGAGAGAGGAGAGACGGGCTTCAATTGAAAGTTAATTTACCCTTCATAAAAAGAAAAGAAAACAAGAACCATCATGGTCCTTCTGTGCTTCCAAGTTCTCACAATCTGAAAAGATGACACAGAAGACACATCTAGTGAAAATAACCAAGAACCTGACCTCCCACATTCCGACTGATAGCCTCTTCATGGTCCAATATACCATCCGGAGTTGTGATCACAACATAACCCCACTGGCGTGTAGGAAGGTTCCGCAACCTGTAAGCTTCTATATCCTTTGCCTTAATGTCTTGCCTGTAAGTGAGAGCTCGACAATCAGTAACCCTGCCTTGTAATTCAACAGTTATCCTTCCCACTCTGTGTGGATCGTAAACATGAAAGTTTTTTATATATCCCCTGTCTTTCATGATCTTAAGAAAAGAAGACATGACAGTAGAAATGGGCTGTAACTCCACGGTAGATTTACTTCTCCTCTCTGCGTTCACTATTGCCCTCAAGGCATCGTTCAATATCCTCCTCCCCATCTTACTCTCTCTTCACAGCAAGCTGGACAAATTAAATGCAAAGGAACTGTAATCCATCACACCATCAACATCTAATGTTGAAGTACAAAATCATCAACCACGCATTTCAATCAATACCATACCAATGACGTTAATTGAATGTACAAAATCACATAATATCATATTATGACACAATTATTCAACAATAAATATAATATAATAGTAGAAGGAAAATTCTGTGCATACAAACAAATAGCAGCGCAACTCGACCACAGGTTAAGGGTGGCTAAACCATGTGATATAAACTCAAAATTAGGGATGACAATGAGTATATATAAGTCAGGTTTGGTATTATTCATACCTAAACCTGAACCTAAAATTATTATCCATACCCAACCATAAATGTGACGGGCATGGATTTTGGACACCTGAACCCAACCTGACCAGGTTACAGATATTCATAACCCGACTCCAAACCTGAGAACTATAATTTCACCTGTTACTATCACAGAATTAAGCAAATCATAGGCTATGAAATTTACCTGATTGTTTTTTTTAACAATAATCCTATAGATATTAAGAAAACATAAAAACAGACATGGAACAGAGAAAAGGAGAGCAATGGACAAAAGTGCATGTAATTGTAACCAATTTTTGTCAGAAGTTAATACATTTGCAACTGAGAAATTCTAGCATAACTATAATTCCCACTTGTCAAGGTACTGTCATTTTCCTAAGCAAAACGACATAATGGTTCTACGAGCAAATGGCTCGCTAGCCTGCCTACCAACCCCAATGATTATGCCTTACTCAGAATTTCATAGACCTTTTTGTAATGTAATTCTACTATTCGAATTAAATACTACATCTACACAAAACAAGAGGCATGTATATACCTAAGCTGTAATTCGGAAAATAGCAACCAGAAAAAATATAAAATCATAAAGCCAAAGCCATGCCAATGATTACCCAAAAAAACTCGAGAAATTCGAAAAATTCAAATGCAAAGCAAAGGATGCAAAGAGAATAAGAGGTTAATAAAATGCAATGATTACCTGCTAATAATATTGAATTGATGGAGGAGAGAGAGAGTATTACAGATAAAATGAGAGGGAGAAATGGCGAGAGGGGTTCCTGAGAAAAATGCAGCAGAGCGGCGGCAGTGGGTTTATTTTGGGATTGGGAATGAGAGGCCTTAGGGAAAGAGGTTTTATTTTTTATTAAAAAGGAACCATGTAACATTTTCTACGTTAAGTCTCAGCCATGACCCCTCCACCAATTCTCATTTACCTTCACAAACTTAACATCTCTCAGTTGGGTCTACAGGTACCAAACTTTTTTCTTAATTGAGCCCCTTCATCCATTTCCAATTACTTAATGGTATGCACTAAAACAACACAATTTTGCTGAGAACTTGGCTTTGGATATCTCCAAATATTAGAAACATCTCAAAACCCAGACAAAGAACCCAACTTTTCTTCAACAACACCACTGCCTGATTCTTTAATGGTGGAGAAAATTCTCTTCTCTTTAAAGCAAGGTAATGTAAATTATTTTCATCCACATCAACCTTGCTTAAACCCATCAATTCTAGTTGATGCTCTATGTCTTTGTAATGGTAATTTGCAACTGGGTCAAAGATTTATTGATCGCTTATCTTTAAAAGCTACAAACTTTAAGCATTCATTGAGTGCAATGGTTCATGTTTTTGTACGTACTACAAGATTATCTGATGCCCAAGCTTTTATTTTTATAATGATTAGGAGAAGTGGGTTTCGAGGGTTCAGGTCTTTGAGGCTTTGGTGTCATCAATGTGTAGCAATCGTGGCACTAATAATCTGGTTTTTGATTTGTTGATAATAACTTTAATGTGCAAGCTAGGAGTTAAGGGAAGGGACTGAGGCGTTTAGGATTTTTACGAGTAAAGGCTGTTCTGTGCCTATAAATTATAAAATCCTGGAAGTCTTCTTGGAGGGTTAGTGAAGATCATAGTTACAAAACCCAACCCGGTATGGATCTTGTGGGTCAACCCGGGCTAACCCGGGTCAACCCGGATGAAAAACCAAGACAATTACTGGCCACTTTCTCGCCAATTTGCACCCGAAAGTGTTTGTTTAATTGTAAATGCAAAAGGTCAGCCATAGGATGTTAAATCCAGTTATTTCTCTGCGTTGAATCTAATGCAGGGATTTTTTTAGGAAGGCTAAAATATAAAGACCCCTCCATGGGTCCTTGTACATTGTGAAAGATAGAGCTCCTAACATTCTCATGCCCCAGTTCTTCATAAAAACAGTTTCTATGGGTGCCTGTTGCTAGACGCAGGCTTTTACGAAAACATTCTCTACGGGTTTGTAGAATGAAAGGTGATCAAAAGGCTACCTTTCAAGTTTCAGATCTAGCTCCCTCTGCATTTTTCCGTTCCTTTTTGGCTGAAAAATACGAATAATTTCTTGTTCTTGATGCATTGCAAATTCAATTGGCCTTGATGCAAATACAAGTAAATCCTAAACAAACACTCTGGGCAGAGTCTTGAAAATTGCAGGGGCAAGAAAGATTTAAATCACAGCATTCATGGTTCTTACCTTGGTTTGAGTTGAAAATTCCGTTAATTCTCTGCTTGAAGAAGCTAGATGAGACCAGAAGCAGGCATCTCTGATCTACTGATTCACCACTGAACGGCTGTGGCTTTCTTCTTCTACTCGACCGAAATTAGGGCGGAATACATTGTTATTGTCTGTTAGTAAAGTTTATATATATATGCCGGGTCTCTCCCGGGTTCGCCCGGGTCATGGGTTAACCCGGTGGGTTGACCGGGTTTTATGTATTTTCCAGTTTTTTACCTAACTCAGTCTAGTCACCAAATCCACTAGTTTTTGGGTCAATTCATCGGCCAATCCAAGTTTAATAACTATGATGAAGATGGGTTGGGTTGAATTGGCTTGGGAATTGTATAGGGAATTTGTTAGAATTGCAATTGAATTGAATGTTTATACTTTAGACATTATGGTCAATGCGTTATGAAAAAGGGAAGATATGCAACAGCAGATGAAATTTTGCTTGAGATGCTGAACATTAGGCCGGGCCCTGATGCTACTACACATAACACATTGCCTGTTGGCAGCTGTAGAAAAGACAATTCTTCTGAAGCTGAAGAAATTTTTGGTAAAATGTTATGTCGAGGTGTTGTTCCTGATTTAGTTAGCTTTAGTTCCCTTATTGTAGTTTTTTCGAGGAACAAATATCGTGATCAGGCATTAGTGTATTTTGGAGATATGAAGAAATTGGTTTGGTTCTGGAAAATGTGATTCACACTATTCTTGTAAATGGTTTTTTTAAAAAACTGAAATATCCTGGAGGCTTTGAAGAAACGTGATGAAATGCTAGAGTAGGGTTGTGTTTTAGATATGGTTGCGTACAATACACGGTATTTAATGGATTGTGCAGAGAGAAGATGCTCACAGATGCAGATGAGCTGTCCACTGAGATGGCGGAGAGGGTTGTGTTCCCTGATCTCTACACCCTCACCACACTTATTCGTTGCCGTTGTAAGAACGGGAATATGAATAAAGCACCGAGCTTTCTGGGGCAATGACTCGAAGGAATATCAAACCAGATATTGCAATACATTAATTGATGGGTGTTGCAAGATGGGTGAAATTGTGAAAGCTTATGATTTATGGGATGGTGTGAACTCTAGGAAGATTTTCCTCAATCACATTACATATGGCATTTTAATAAACACATATTGTTGTGTGGGCCATGTATCTGTAGCCTTTAGATTGTGAGATGAGATGATTGAAAAGGGCATTAAACCCACCATTGTCACCTGCAACACTGTTATAAAAGGCTGCTACTGGTCAGCTGATGCATCAAAGGCTGATGAGTTCTTGGAAAGGTTGATTGCAGGAGTTACTCCTGATAGCATTTCATATAGCACCCTTACTAATGGTTTTGTAAGAGAAGATCATATGGACAAAGCTTTTCTTTGGATGAATAAGATGGAAAAAGAAGGTCTGTTGCCTCATATCATTTACATATAATGTAGTTATGAATGGGTTCTGTAGGCAGGGTAGGATGCAAGAGGCTGAGTTGGTCTTGCGGAAAATGATCAAGAAAGGGATGAGTCCGGGTAGGTCCGCATACACAGCTTTGAAAAATTGACATGCCTCCCGGGAAAGCTTGAATGAGGCATTTCGATTTCATGATGAAATGCTGCAAAAAGGATTTGTCCCTGATGATGTTTTTTTTAATTTGATCACCGTACTGCTGCCTCTCATTGTTAATAAAATCCATGTGACCCTGGACACCTTGAGAGCTCAGTTTCGTGGTGAAATGCTGCTAAGCAGATCCATTCCAGCTGATAAATCCTAATTATTTTGATCTTACAGGTTTTATACTTGCTGGATTCAGTTGTCTCTGTGCCTGCGAGGTGGGATATCCTATTTCTTATTTTTATTTTCTTTGTTCTATTTTCTGCAATATCGTTTCACGACCTATGTTACTGAATTCATTTGTGTTCTTTATAGATGTGCTCAGAGAATTTTAGAAAGCAGAGGTTGATTCCATTATTGTGGGGTGTTCCATGTTGGTTGGATTATAGATGCTCTCGACGAAGGTATTTCAAATGGTTTTGTAGTTTTCTTCCTTGCTCTCTGCTATGTTGCTAACTCCTTACTATAATTTGCATGCTAATTTTTCTACTTCAGCTTTAAAGAGCATTCGAAGAGCTTGTCCATCAGGTGTGAACAAGTGTATTTTGTCAAGCCGGGGAATTATAGCATGGCTGATAACTGCCATGATTTGCTGTGGGACCAAGAAATGAGCAGTACTGTCGCCAATAATCTAAACCCAGTTTGTGGATTAGGATTCAGGTAAAGCTAAGAACTGATGTTCTAAAGCGGAAGAGTCTGCTTTTATTTCCACTCGAGGAGATATGAAGGGCTAGTAAAAGTCGTCAAACCATTTGTTTAAATTTGCTCATGTTTCTCTCCATGACGAGTTCCTCGGAAGAGAAGATTTTCCTCCGGCAGCCAGAATTATTTTTTTGCTCCGCCTTAATTTTTCTTCGAATTGATGCAGTCTTATTTGGGTAGCTTAGCAAAAGGATTTAGACTCGATGGATAATTGGCTATTACTTGTGAATTTTTTGTATGATTGAGATTGTAATATAAAATATTTTTTAAAATAGTTTTTTATTAAAAAAATATGTTGAAATAAACTTTTTTATTTTTTTATTTTTGATATTAATAAATTAAAATCATACAAATATATTAACACTTTATTTTAGATTATGGTGTAAGATATTTTTTAAAATAGTTTTTTATTTAAAAATATATTAAAATAATTTTTTTTAGATATTAAAATTATTGAATATACTTTAAAAAAAATACTATAAATATTTTCAAAAGCAGCCCCCATTTTCTACCACTTCTTAAAGCAATTTACATTCATACTATACTCTAATTTTGAAATGACTTTTGCACTGCATGTTAATTGTGAACTGGGTTCAATTTTTAATTTTTTTCTGTTTGCTGACAAAAACTATTGGCATATATTTTTATTATGATATAATTAAATAAAAATATTAAAAATAAGTTATTTAATCACGTTGAGTTGAGTTCATAATTCGAGAAAAGATATTTAACATACTAATTTAAGTTAATTTAGATTAATCAAAAATATTATTCATTTGTAAAAAAATAAATTATTGTGTATTATTTTTTTAGAATTAGTATCTATTTTAATCACTTTATTTAAATCAAACTGTTCATATAAAGTCAACCTTTAATAAGGTATAATTTAAAATTAAGATAAGATAACATATTGAGTTATAAGATTTTTATGATGATTTGCTATGATAAATTTAATGATATTATCAAAAACAATTCATCAATAACTTACAATACATGGTATTATTCTTAGTATTTCAACACTCACAACAAAATTATCATAACTGTTTATAATTAAAACTTGATTTCATGATGATGATAAGATCTGTATTCAAGTAAAGAATTCTAGGAAAAAACTGAACACATTAATAAGAAAAAAGATTAATGAAAAATACACCTTTTTATCCTTATTTTAAATCAAGTATTAGGACATGTGAGTTTTATTTTGAAATGTATACGGATGTAAAAATTAAAATTAAACTATGAAACATAAGCTGCACAAATAATTAATATTACTGGATTATGTATCCTTAGCTGGGTCATGAGCCACCACTCGCCGGAT